CTGCCTTTACACTGTTATTGTGAGGATGTTTTTAGCACAGTATATGGTCTGTTGTAAGCATTCAAATGTTTGTAAAAAGAAGAGCAAATTTTTAAAAATATATTTTTATTGATTTCAGAGAGGAAGGGAGAGATAGAAACATCCATGATGAGAGAGAATCATTGATTGGCTGCCTCCTGCACATCCCACACTGGGGATCGAGCCCACAACTGGGGCATGTGCCCTTGACTGGAATTGAACCCAGGACCCTTCAGTCCGCAGGCCGACGCTCTCTCCACTGAGCCAAACCGGCTAGGGCAAGAGCAAAAATTTTAATATGTCAAACTCAAGTTTTAATTTGAAAGTATTATATCTTAAAGCTCTCCGGATCCTGGCAAGTTAACATTAATTTTAAAAGTTTATTGTTGACTCCCTTTCCTGTTGTCCATAATTTTACCACATAAGTGTCTTAAGCGCCACCCAAGACCAATTCTTAAAACTCTCTTCCCGTGGCTTTCTTGATATGACAACCTGCTGGTCTTTTTCTTTCTTTCTCAGTCTCCTTTGCTGGCTCGTCTTCCACCTAATCTCTCTGTTGGCGTTCCTTGGGCTATGTCCTGGCCCCTTTCCCTTCTCACGCTCTCATCTCTCAATAAGCAAATCTTCCACACCCATGGCATTAATTAGCCTCCCTGTCCTGATGACTCTCCGATTGACATCTCCAGCCCAGACCTCTCTCCTGAGCACTGCACTTCCACACACAGCTGCCTGTTCTACCTGCTCACTGGGGTTTCACGGGGTTCCAAACTCAGCAGGTTCAGAACGCCCACTGTTTTCTACCTGAGGGACCAGGACCTCCATCTATGAAGTTAGCTAAAGCAGAAACTGGAGTCATTATTGACATACCTGCCTCTCCTTTACCGTCATATGCGATTGGCCAGTCTTCTGACGCTGCCTTCTAAATACTCCCTGCTGACTTTTGTCTGCACTGCCACCCAGGTTATCACCTGACTACTCCGATGGCGAGACTCAGCACCTGCATCCACTTGATGCCTCCAGTACTTCTCTGCACTGCTGGCAGAGTTTCTCTTGGAAGATTCATTCATTCATTGAAAAAAATATTTATTGAGCCCCTACTATGTGCAGTTTGTGACCAAGACAGGCATGTCCCTGATCTCCTATAATTCTACTTAAGAGCATATGATTGGGCCCAGGCCGGTGTGGCTCAGTGGGTTGGAGCATCGTCCCGTACACTGAAGGTTGCTAGTTTGATTCCTGGTCAGGGCACATACCTTGGTTGTGGGTTTGATCCCCAGTTGGAGCATGTACAGGAGACAACTGATCGATGTTTCTCTCTCTCGCTCTCTCGCTCTCTCTCTCCCTTTCTTTAAAGTCAATGAAACATATCCTCGGATGAGGATTAAAAAAGAGAGAGCTTGGGGGTAGGAAAAGTTTCTTTGAGTAAATAATTTTTCATCTGAGATCTGAAGAATGACTTAGGAATTAATTAGGCAAAGAGAGGGCGGGTGGAAGCAAAAGAGCATTTTAGGCAGAAAGAACATCATGTACAAAGGTCTGAAATCAGGAAGAAGCAAGATATGAGAAACTGAGGTCAGGGAGTGAGGAGTAGAGTACAAGAGCTGAGGCTGGAACTGCTGGGCACAGCCAGGCTCTGTGGGTGTAGTGACTCTAATTGGGAGGGATTCAGGGGGCCTTGGAGCCCCCTCAAATGGCCTCCTACAGTGAAATGTATAAGAATTTCCTTCCTTCATTCCCCCTCCCCCGTCTCTGTCTCTTTCTCTCTGAGCATTTTTCTGAGGAGAGAATGCATAGCTTTCATCAGGGTCTTCCCCCCCACCCCCAATATATTGTTATTGATTTCCGAGAAGAAGGGAGAGGGGGAGAGAGAGAGAAACATCAATGATGAGAATTCTTGATCAGCTGCCTCCTGCATGCCCCCTACTGGGGATCGAGCCCTTGAACGGAATAGAATCTGGGACCCTTCAGTCTGTAGGCCAATCCTCTATCCACTGAGCCAAACCAGATAGGGCATCATCCGGGTCTTACAGCCAATCTGCGATCCTTTCCTCTCTAGAAGTGTAGAGCCTTTGATGGTATGAAAGCCCAAGGTATTTACTCTGGACTTTATCCTACAAGCCATTGGAAATTATTAAGCCAAAAATGGACAGATTGTAAAATCAACAGGGCAGGGACTTTTATCTCTTTAGCCATTGATGTGCCCCAAGCACCTAAAACAGTGCCATGCACAGAACTGGCACTCAGTAAATAATTGCTGAATGAATGAATGTCTATTGTGGCTATTGAATTATATTGTACTAGAGGCCCGGTGCACGAATTCGTGCACAGTTGGGGTCCAGCCGGCCCAACCCGATCAGCCTGATTGGGGATGGGGATGGCCAGGGGGAGGGGCCACGGGCAGTTAGCCAGCCGGCCTCACTCCCCAGGTCAAACTCCCAGTCGAGGGGACAATTTGCATATTAGGCTTTTATTATATAAGATTGCTTTATACTGCAATCATGTGCTTTATGCTTCTCCCTTATAAGAGTCAATTCTTGATAACGACTGTGTCTTATTCATCTTTATATTACTAGAGATATGATACTAGTGCCCAGCACAATGCCTGGCTTAAAATCAATTTCAAAATGCATTAATTAATTCAGCCAATAATTTAAGAGCACCTACCAGATGCCAGGAACCCGGGAATAAAAAGATGACTAATGTAGTATCATTAACCTCAAGGATAAACAGTAATAAACATTCAAACCAATTTTTTAAAGTAAGTGAATAAAGAAAGAAATGGGCTCATTTAAAAGAAAAGACGCTTTCCAGTGCTTTTTAAATGCTGCTACCAAGTCAGCTAACTGTCCAGTTGTGCTTAAGGCAAAACCTGCTCTTTGGCTTCCCAAATGGAGAATAGTTAGCAAACCAAAACTGGAAAGGAGGGAAATATCCTATACCAGAGAGCATATCTTTCGGGCTTTTTTTCAGATATATATGTAGGCACTCTACTCCTGAGGCTCTGTTGGTAAGTGGAGCCTAGTAGCCTCTGGTTAGTCTACATACGAGAACACTTTAAACGCTATCTGTTTAAAATAGAGTATGACATGCATTATCAATCATTTGATGATCACCGATGTTGCTCAAATCACCCAGATCGTCTGTCTAGCCTGCCTGATCGCTGGCCCTTAGCTTGCTTGGCTGGCTTTGGCATCAAATGTGCAAACTCAGTACATTGGAATAACACTTGAAAAACGTTGTATGGACAAATTTGTTGGTTTATATCGTTCATGTAGGTTACTCATCTATGTTAGGAAGTGTCCCCTGACGGATCACATACTTGCTTTTGAATCCACTAGTTTTCTGTAAATTACTGAGAGTTCCCAGGCCTCGCTGGTCTCCTTGAGATTGTATACATTATTTAAAATATCGCCATTAACTCACTGCAATAAAATTCTAGTTCTGAAACTTATAATAAAACTCTGGTTTACTTTTGAGCAAAGAAGAAAAAGAGAACAAAACTATTAAACCATCAGGTCAGTTTGTCATTTAAGGCTTTGTAGGTCCATTTTCTTTTCTTCTCAATGTACCCAGACTTGATAGAAATAAGGATCATTTCATTTGAATGAAAAGCACACCCAAGCAATATTTCTAGGAAAGCGAATCTTACCAAGTACTTTTTCTCACAACCACACTGTAACAAATAAAGAAGTTGGGTTTTGGGTTTTTATGTTGCTATTTCCCTTCCTTTAGAGCAGACCGGTTTAAACTTTTACATATCTAAGCAAAACACTTATTTGGTGAGCAGCTCTATTTATTTTCTCAGAGTTTTATTGTCAATGTCTTAGTTTAAGCCAAAGGGAATTTGTGGTTTCTGAGATCAGAATTTCAACTGCTTTCTAAAGCTAAAAGAAAAGTTAGTGATTACATTAACCATTTGTAGACCCAATCTTTGATTCTAAATGGTACTTAAGTGTTTTATTGACATCCCCACTAGTTTGTAGTAATAACATATCAATAATAATAATAACAACCTATATCTATAACAAAAGATAAAAGGATAATGTTGGAACCTTGAGTAGATATTCTGACAAGTCTTACTTAAAAATACTTATCTTGCCCTGGCTGGCGTGGCTCGGTGGTTAGTGTACTGGCCCTACTCACTGAAGGATCATGGGTCTGATTCCGGCCAAGGGCACCTACCTGGGTCACAGGTTCCGCGCCCTAATTGGCAACCAATTGAAGATTAACAACAACAAAAAATACTTGTCTTATTCTATTTTCCTACCAAAAGAATGAACAGAGGACATGGAAAAACCTTTCCTCCCATCTAGTGGCTAGAAAATATAAAAATATCCTCTGTGTGTTTCCTGGAATTCCAGGCATCAGACATTGTCTGACAGATTATAATTCATCCAGTTGTTCATTCAGTTAAGCAAAAGTAAGTTCTAAAATCTTGACCAAGACTGAACCCAATGGAGAACTGTATATCAATGGTGACTCACTAATCAACTTCCCTTTAATCAATAACATACACTTCGAGAAGAAAGGTGGTCTGTGGTCCTTCCCAATTCATTAGTCTGAACCCCTGAGAGGAAAGACAGGCTGTATGTTTCTGCTACCTGAAATGGGGACTGAGATTCTATTCGCCTCTAAAGCAATCAGTGCCCTAGATCTATCCTGACCCTTAATTGCTCCTTGTTGGCCTCACACCCTAACAACTCTTCCCTCAAGAGTTAGATGTGCCGCATTCACTAAAAAGAGCCAAGAAACTGTCCCTGAAACTGGCTGCCTCCGGGGGACCGCGGCTCCTGAAACTTGGAATAGCAGACGCTGATACTGGCAGCGGGGCCTCTGTGCAGGGCCAAACTGGCCCACAGGAAAGCAGGTTGGGATCCGTTATGCAGCTGTGAGGATTAGTGCTGGGTCTGCCTGTCTTGTATGTCCTTGTGCACATGTCAAATCCTTTGCTGAATGGGGCCTCTCTCTGGTGATTCTCACAGGTTCAGAGCACGAATATTGTGTGCAGTCAGCAAAGCTCCGAGAACACCAGGAAGAAGAGGAAGGTCAGCGAACCATTGGAACGCATCATCCCAGAGAGCAAATGAGACCGAGAGGCCTCTGCTACATTTATCCCCAAATAATTTTGTTTTGCAACAAACTACATGAAGTGTCTTAGTCGGAGAGTAAGTTCCTATCATCAAAACCTTTTACTAAATTTGTTGTTCAGCTTCCTTAGTCAGTTTATAAATTACGAGGTAGGACCTGTGTTCACTTTGGTCACCAGGGCTGCCTTGGGCTAGCATTGCTTCCAGAGAGATTTAGAGATGAGACACCTTCCTATTCATAAAGGAGCCACAGCGGCTACGCTGAGGAGAAATAAGCCGTTGTTCTCAAGAGAGAGAGGCTTTTCTTTGCATAATCAAACTCCCTGGGTACTTAGACGACTGTGAAATGTTCCAACTTGTTGTAACCTGTGCCCTGGAATCCCTCTATAGCTTTACTAGAATTCCCACAGAATTGCATAGATGGATGCGGTAGTGCTTACCCAGGTGTGAGTTTTGTGTTAACTTCAGTCACGAGGTTGAACAGCTAAGTGTTGGACTATCAAGTTCTTCAAATCTGGCCCCGGGCCCTGATCTGTTGGCCAACCCGAGGCTGGGGAAGAGGCTGCAGTGCAGGAGCCTGGCTCCCTGCTAAGGCCTGTGCTGAATGCTTCCCAGCAGGCCCTCCGTGTACACATCAATCTGTAACTTGCAGATGATGTTACTAGTTCCCCCTTATTCTGGAAGAATGTTGATAGACGTAATGAATTATAAATGACTTAAAGTGTTATTTTTTATTGTTATATAACATGGGGTTTAATGTAAATGGATAGAACCAATAAGTGAAATGTATAGGTTAAATACATTTAAGTAAATGTATTGGTTAAATTTACTGGTTAAATAAAAAATGCAAGGTCTTTCTTTCTTGCTTGGCTTTTCTTCTTCACTTAGATTAATGTTTCTCCAAGTGCAGTAAGAACACCAGCACCTGGAGCGCTTGTGAAAACAGAGTTTACAAGGCCCGCTTCATTTCCACGGAATCCAAATCTCCAGGGACGGGGCCCTATGGAAAACTCCCCAGATTCTAATGTGCACACGAGATTGAAACCCTGAAACCTCTGACCCAGACTAATAGGAGCATCTCTGGGGCCAGACATGCACTTTAGCTGGAAGAAGGCTGTGTTATCGTAAGAGGAGAATCCGAGGGAGCGCCCCTGTCCAGCTCTGCCCTTTGCCAGGCTCTCATCCATTTCTGACCTTCCATAGACGGGGGTCTTGAATTGGGCTCACACCAGGGCTCACACCCTGCTCTGGGGGAGCATTCTCCCTCTCCCTGCTTGCGAAGTACCCTCACAGAAGCTTGATCTGCCACTAGAAGGAGAAGGAGGGGAAAGGTATTGTGTTTATTATATCCTTGGTAGAACTGTAGCCTGAGTCACCATAATTTCTTTTAAGAGAGTCGTATAAGGAGCTTAGCTGTCTACCAGAGGGATTAGGTTTATTGTGTATCTCTCCGGAGGGTAGATCTGACACCAAACTATTGAAAGCCACAGAAGGTCCATTTGGCTCAGTATAAGGAGGCACTTTTTAAGGTTGTCAGAATTTTGCAACGGGCTGCAGCCTTGTGAGGCCTGAGTGCCCATAACAAGTGTTTGAACACAAAGGAGCTTTACAAAGGCTCCGGGAGCCTTTGACTCAAAGCAAAGCAGTTCTATGGCACAGTCAGCCTGGGTCTCAGAAGGAACCATTTTGCTTAAAAAGAGAATTTAGCTCTCAATCTGTTTACACATTTCATCAACGTAGCCTAAGGTTGACAGATCCTTTAAGTCAAAGTCGAGAATCTGAATCTCTCTAGAAAAATTTTAGAGTGATTTTAGTGTCTTTGTTAACACCCCTTTCCCAACGGGAAGTCTTCTGTCGATGCCAAGAGGTGGGAAATGTATGTCTAATGCAGTGAGTGTGAGGCAACAGAGAGAAGTTGCTGGGCTATGCCCTTGGCTGGCTACACAGGGAAGGAGATCTGTTATCAGGAGGCCCTGAGAACCACGACAATGTGAACTAGCTGATTTTACATAGCAGAGCTAATGTATGCAGCCTGATATCAAGATTGGAAGGTATTCAGTTTTATTTACTGAACGATTTACTACAGGGATAAAAATCTTTTCTCCAGTCTACTCATTTCTGCCCTTCATAGTAACGAAATGAGTAAACACAAGTCCGTCAAGAAGCTGGCATTTCAGGGAAAAGAATGACATGTGGGACCCCGAGCCGGGGAAGCTGAGCTGGGCCACACTAGCCATTCCCTCGCCCTGGCTGCGCGTGGTTCGTCAGTGTGATTGCGAAGATGAGATGACGATGGCCTAGAAACTGGGACATTGTTCAATTAAAAATTATGCAGGGGAAATTTGACTTCTGCTGCTTGGGGTTTTTCTGTCTTTACAGAAAGTTGGTCTAGCTGGAAAGAGATGGGTTAGGCTCAAAGACTGCCGCCGGCCTTTGAAGCCAGGCACCGAAACCGCACCTTCATTTCCCCTCTCGGGTCCCGCTGGTGTCTGGGTTCTTTCATTCTCCAGCTCACCTCTGCCAGGAAGAGGCTGGAAATGAAGCTGAGCGTGTCACCAGGGCCAACGTGGCACACACACAAGGTCAACGTCGTGTGTGTGTGTGTTTTTAAGAACTAACGTTAACCGTTAGAGCCAGTTTTCGTTGTCTTAAAATGTTCAATTAATTTATGGTTTCAAACCCAGCAGTCCTGGATCCTTAGAGGTTTCCACGGATTCTGATGGCAGAGAGCATCCTTAGTTACAATAACCATCATTCAGGAGGAGGAGGAGGAGGAGGAGGAGGAGGAGGAGGAGATGAGGCTTAGCACACTCTGCTTGTGGGAGTTAAGGTGAGGTCCTCCACCGTGTATGATTCTAGATGAGACAATCCCTATCTTTGTCCCAAATTAGAAATGATTCGTTTCTATTTTTAAGTGTGATTCTGTGTTTGCGTAATGAGGCCCTGGCTGAGGCTTGCTACGCAGCTGTCCGTGTCTGTGGAGGATGAGGGCTCCATTGAGGGCCTTGATGGGCCCTTCGGAAACGCATTGGAAAGCCAAGACCCTATCCAGAAATGGAGAGACTGGAGGTACTAATCCGCTCATGTAACTTCCCCTTGGATGTACTACATCTTTGCAAATGGGTGCACCTTCTGGGAATGTCAACATTGTTGAGACGGACTCTTGTAAGATATGTTGGTCTCACAAATACTGTTCCCTGACTGTGTGCGTGTGTGTGTGGGGGGGGGCGGGGGGGAGGCGGGTGCGGGTAGACTGATCTCAGTCTTACTAAACATTTTAGTCTGGTCTTTACTTTGCCATGAGGTTCAGCAGCACAAGGGTTTCCCCAGAGCAGGAGTGGAGAGGCAGGCTGGTTAAGATAACCCCAAACATCTAAGACCGACTGGGAGAGCATGGAGCCTTCCCTGGGGACTCAAAGCCGTAGGGATAGAAACCTGGAACAAGAGGGGACTTTTGGGGGGTCTTTAGTTGGATATTGCTGGACTCCCGAAGGCGGGAGAAGTCTGGGGGACCCAAGTTCCATTGGGATAATTACTGATCAGCTCGAGGGTGAGCAGGCACAGTTAGGTTTTCACCTTCTTTTTTAGCAAGAAAAGGCCTAGGTTTCTGGCTTCAAAACCTGACTGCAATTGTCTAGACAATTTAGAAATCCTCTAGTCCTCAGTTACTCATTTGGGAACATGTGGATAATAATGACGCCTACCTAGCAACCCTGCTGTGAGGCTTAAGCGAGGCAATTCATACGAGCTGCCCAGCACGCATCCCGTCAATGCTCAACAGATGTTCATCATAATTGCTTTTTTTTTTTTAACTTGGCCTGTCTTCTTCCTGAGTCTCAGGAGCTCGGGGTCCCTGTGCTGCTTTTGCCTACCCAGAGATCCTGCGTCCACATCCTCTCCTACTCGGCCAGCACTAGAGCATGCTTCCGAGTGCCTCTGCTCTGAGCACCTCCCCACTCCTCTCCCCAAATCCAAACTCCCTCTCCTCGGGATAGTTCGATGGACGGGAGCATCAGATTAAGCTTACTGTGCTGCCCTCCCACACTTGCATTTTTCAAACAGAAGCTTGTTAATAAGAACAATGAATCTCACCTAGGGAATGCGACACAAGGAGAGATTGAGCCTGGCTGGCGTGGCTCAGGGGTTGAGCATTGACCTATGAACCAGGAGGTCACGATTTGATTCCCGGTCAGGGCACATGCCCATATTGTGGACTCGATCCCCAGTGTGGGGCGTGCAGGAGGCAGCCAATCAATGATTCTCTCTCATCATTGATGTTTCTATCTCTCTCTCCCTCTCCCTTCCTCTCTGAAATCTATCTATCTATACATAGATAGATAGATAGATAGATAGATAAAGAAAATATTCAAATGCCAACTGAAAGACTCCAGTACTATTGAACAAGATCAAGGGAGAGAGAAAAAATCCACAGTAGCTTAAGATCAATGGGTTTGTCCAGGAGCCTGGGGGCCGGGGGGCGGGGGGCTTTGCGTGACTGGCAGCCGGTCCTCAGAGGCGTTAGTCGCGGGCAGAGTCTCATTCCCTTTCCTTCAGGGTGCACACCCGCCACCTGCTTTCTTCTAAGAAACTGTAACATGTGGCGCTCGCTCTCTGCGTTAAAGAACTGGTGTGGTCAGGCCTTACTGAGAACAACCAGCTCTGCCTACCCATGGGTCCCAGAATGTGCATGTCATTCTGAAACCACAAGGAATGTGGTTAAGTCCCCTGGCCACATCTCTCAACAAAGCTGTGTCTGTTTTGCTCGGCCTCCGGAGAGCTTTGCTCCTGGACGAAGATGGTCATTCGTAGTGAAGTCCACTTACGGGTCTTCCCTTAAGACAGTGGTTCTCAACCTTCCTAATGCCGCGACCCTTTAATACAGTTCCTCATGTTGTGGTGACCCCCAACCATAAAATTATTTTCGTTGCTACTTCATAACTGTAATTTTGCTACTGTTATGAATCGTAATGGAAATATCTGATATGCAGGATATATTTTCATTGTTACAAATTGAACATAATTAAAGCATAGTGATTAATCACAAAAACAATATGTAATTATATATCTGTTTTCCGATGGTCTTAGGCGACCCCTGTGAAAGGGTCGTTCGACCCCCAGGTTGGCGAACCACAGGTTGAGAACCGCTGCCTTAAGAGGAGCCTCATAAAGGAATTCATTACTGCGCATGTCAGAAACTTCCTAATGAAACGGCCCCCCAGCCGTAATAGTGAGAAAGCAACCACCGACCGAAATCATCATGGAGCGCTCCCCTGGGGGGCAGCCATCCATCGGCTTCTAGAGAGAACTCGGAGCCTAGGAGCCAGGAGAGACGGACAGTTCTCGGGCCCCCCCTCCAGGCACTGAGATTCCTGTGGAGCAAAAGTGAGATTCGCCTGCACCTGGACTAAGTGGTTAAATGGTTAACTGAACCACGGGCTCCAGTCAGCATGAACTCAGCCTTCAGGACGGGGCGCAGGGGGAAGTTTTATTATCATCATTAATGAAACTCATTTATGATTGCAGGACACACAGAAGAGTCATTTGCATGCCACAAACTCTGAGAGATAGTGATGACACACTATGTAAAGTGACTTTGAAAACTTACAGAGGTTGCAAGATGATAAAACACCTTTCGCTGTTTCGCTCCTGCTTGAATTTCGTGTTTCTTAGAATGGACCGGCTACATGGAATCTAACCTCGTTCTAAGCCACAAGCCCAGCAGTTCCAATGGAAACTGTTAAACCAATTCGGTAACGAAAAGATAAGTAGCTTCAAGCTGCCGGGTATCAGTATTATTGTCATATTCCCTTTATCAAAAGCCGATAACTGAAATGTATAGGTAAGAGTTTACAGTAAG